GTAGGAGAGTCAGTTAATGAGTGTTCTCGTGGCACATCGGAGTGCTATAGGGTGGTCAGTGGCTGATTTGAAAGGGATAGATCCCTCCGTGTGCATGCATTATATACACCTAGAGGAGGATACCAAACCTTCTCACGAAATGCAACAGAGACTGAATCCTAATATGAAAGAGGTGGTGAAAAAGGAAGTATTGAAATTGTTGGATGCAGGTATCATATACCCCATCTCAGATAGCAAGTGGGTGAGTGCCACACAAGTGGTGCCCAAGAAATCAGGCATCACCGTTGTTGAGATTGAGAAAGGAGAGTTAGTCCCCACACGAACCACTACTGGGTGGCGAGTGTGCATTGATTATAGGAGACTAAATTCCTCGACTAGGATGGACCATTTTCCCTTACCTTTCATTGACCAAATCCTAGAGCGGTTAGCGGCGTAGGGTTTCTATTATTTTTTTGATGGCTACTCGGGATATAATCAAGTCTCGATGTACCCCGCTGACCAGAAAAAGACCACATTCACATGCCCTTTTGGCAATTTTGCTTACAGGCGCATGCCCTTTGGGCTATGTAATGCACCAGCGACTTTTCAATGGTATATGATGGCCATTTTCTCCGATATGATGGAGAAATTCTTAGAGGTTTTTATGGATGACTTTTCGGTGTTTGGACCGTCTTTTGAGGAATGTCTTAGGAACTTGACTAGAGTGTTAGAACGATGTACTGAGGCAAACCTAATCTTGAGTTGGGAAAAGAGCCATTTTATGGTTCGTGAGGGTATAGTATTGGGACACATTGTGTCCCCTTGAGGTATAGAGGTAGACAAGGCTAAGGTTAACCTCATTGCAGGCCTTCCTCCACCCAATTTCGTGCATTAAATTAGGTCTTTCTTAGGGCATGCAGGTTTTTACTGTAGGTTCATCAAAGACTTTGGTAAGATATCACGTCCTTTGTGTAGTTTACTGGTTAAGGACGTGCCTTTTATCTTTGATGAGGCATGCTTAAAGGCATTTGAAACACTGAGAATGGCCATGACCACTGCCCCAATCATGAAATCCCTAGATTGGTCGCTTCCTTTTGAAATCATGTGTGATGCCTCCGATTATGCTGTTGGGGCTGTGTTGGGCCAAAGGGTCAATAAGGCACCATTTTCTATATACTATGCTAGTTGCACTCTCTTGGATGCACAATTTAATTACACTACCACCGAGAAAGAGTTGCTAGTTGTGGTCTTTGCCTTAGACAAATTCCGATCTTATCTCCTAGGTTCCAAGGTCATAGTCTTCACTGATCATGCCACTTTGCGGTATTTACTATCTAAGAAAGAGACCAAACCTAGGTTGATTAGGTGGATTTTGTTGCTTCAGGAATTTGACTTAGAGATCCGTGATAAGGAAGGATCTGAGAATGTGGTGGCGGATCATCTCTCCTGAATCCTCGTTGAGTATACTAGTGACCCTCTTATTTTGCATGATTCATTTCCGGACGAACAACTCTTTGGTTTGCACATATTGTGAATTACTTGGCCATTGGGCAAATTTCGCAGAATTGGTCTAAGCAAGACAAAGACCGATTCTTTTCGTAGGTCAGGTATTACTTTTGGGAGGATCTGGAGTTGTTTAAACATTGCTCCGACCAAGTGATCTGACATTGTGTGCCGGAGAGTGAGGTGCATTGCATTCTTACATTTTGTCATTGTTTTGC